GTATCTTTTGTTGCAGGTCACCGGGAGAGCCGAGCGAGGATGAGACGGGCCTGCTGATTGGTGTTCCCGGCAGCTGCGCCTGTGCTGATTGGCCGAGAGGGCGTCGGCTCCTCGGGATAGTTCTGACCGAGCCCCGCTAAAGACTCGGCTCCACGACTCGTCTCCGGCTCATTATCTGCTCGCTCGTGAGTGAGACGAGACTTGTCCTGCTCTCGTGTTTACGTGTGAGTGAAACGAGTGAACTGAAACGGATAAAAAGCAAAAAAATACGTGATCGAAGCGTGAGTGAGTGAGTTGGCGACGCGGCGTGGAAAATAGTCGTCGGAAAAGACTGTGTGGTACCTGCGTCCCCTCTCGGTTTTAGGCTCACGGGACGCACGCTCAGTTAGTGTAAACCTGACTCCCCTCGCGAGCGGACGTGAATCGATGGTGGTCTGTGACGTTTGGGAAATCGCTTGAATTATGGTGTCGGAAAGCAAGTCCGGCCATCAGCTGGAGGTGTGTCGGGGCGTTTAGTAGTAGGCAATGTGCACCCGCGTGAGAGATATAGACCGGCGGCCTCCCCGTAGTGCCATGATGCGGAATTCAGTGTTTTTGTCGTCGTTCGTGCTCCTGGTGGTGACCCTTGTGGGTGCCACGGACGGGGAGACGGCCAAGGAGGAGTCGCGCTGTGAGGAAATCACCATCCCGATGTGCCGCGACATCGGCTACAACAACACGTCGATGCCGAACCAGTTCAACCACGACTCGCAGGACGAGGCCGGCCTCGAGGTGCACCAGTTCTGGCCGCTGGTCGAGATCATGTGCTCGCCCGACCTCAAGTTCTTCCTGTGCTCCGTGTACGCGCCCATATGTATCGACGACTACGACAAGCCTCTGCCAGCGTGCAGGAGCGTGTGCGAGCGGGCCAAGGCGGGCTGTGCTCCCATCATGCACCAGTACGGCTTTGCATGGCCCGAGAGGATGGATTGCTCGAAGCTTCCAGAGTACGGAGACACCGTCCACCTGTGCATGGACAAGCGCAACGGCTCGGCGCCCGAGGAGAAGCCGCCCAAGAATTTCGGCAACCTGGACAAGAAGTGCCGCGGGAAGAACTCCAAGTACTGCCCCAAGTGCCAGTGCTCGTGTCCCTTCGTGAACCTAGATCCCTCCTACCGGCAGTACGGGCGCTATCCTAACGAGTCCTTCAAGGTGGGCCGCGTGCCTGACTGCGCGCTCCCGTGCCACGCCGTGTACTTCGACCAGGACGAGCGCACCTTCGCCCAGTACTGGATCGCCATCTGGGCCATCCTGTGCTGCGTGTCCACCCTCACCACCATCACCACCTTCCTGATCGACATGGACCGCTTCAAGTACCCCGAGCGGCCCATCATCTTCCTGAGCGGCTGCTACTTCATGGTGTCCATGGGCTACATCATCCGCCTGGTGGCCGGCCACGCCGAGGTCGCCTGCGACGGCAAGATGATCGTCTACAACTACCACCTGGTGCGCCACAACCCGTACGGCTCGGGCCTCTGCACCACCGTGTTCCTGCTCGTCTACTTCTTCGGGATGGCGTCGAGCATCTGGTGGGTGGTGCTGTCGTTCACGTGGTTCCTGGCGGCGGGGCTCAAGTGGGGCAACGAGGCCATCGCCAGCTACTCCACCTGGTTCCACCTGGCGGCCTGGCTCATCCCCACCATCCAGAGCATCGCCGTGCTGGTGATGGCGGCCGTGGACGGCGACTCCGTGGCCGGCATCTGCTACGTGGGCAACCAGGACATCAACAACCTGCGAGGCTTCGTGCTGGCCCCGCTCTTCATCTACCTCGTGGTGGGCTCGGCCTTCCTGCTGGCCGGCTTCGTCAGCCTCTTCAGGATCCGCAACGTGATCAAGCAGCAGGGCCGCACCAAGACGGAGAAGCTGGAGAAGCTCATGATCCGCATCGGCGTGTTCAGCGTGCTCTACACGGTGCCGGCGACCATCGTCATCGGCTGCTACTTCTACGAGCAGCTGTACGTGGACGAGTGGCAGGACGGGCTGGTGTGCCCCTGCAGCCCGCACAAGGGGCGCAAGCCGGACTTCTCGGTGCTCATGCTGCGCTACTTCATGACGCTCGTGGTCGGCATCACGGCCGGCTTCTGGATCTGGTCCGGCAAGACGCTCGACTCCTGGAGCCGCTTCTACCACCGCCTGTGTCCCGGGCCGCACGGCCACACCTACGAGTACCCGACCCGGCCCATCAAGCAGGCGGCCGCCCCTTCGTGTGCGTCCTTCCCGCCGCCCATGAGCGCCCAGGGCACCGCCCACAGCGTGGCGTCTCACCTGGGCTCGGTGAACAAGACTCTGCCCCTGTCACACGTATGACAGGAGGGGGAGGAGGGGGGTTATTTGGCGGGTCCCCAGAGTGCCATGGGGGGCTGCCCCTCGAGCGTGGTGGGCGGCGCGCCCTCCACGGTCCACAGTGTCACGACGCCGCACGTATACGTCGACCCCGGGGACGAGATCATGCCCTATGACC